TGTACATTGTAATTAGTAACTTATTTGCAATTTCTAATTTAAGAATTCTAGTTATTTTCATTAAAATATACTATGTTCTAGCAAAGGACGCTGTGCAGTTTTCCTTTTCATTTCAAGATGGGCCTTATAACTTTTAAAAACTCTTCAGTTATGTCTTTAACTGCAAAATTTGCTCTGACGCTGCCTGGATCGTTAATTAGCGCAGTGATGAGCTTCTTGAAAGCCAATGGATCACCTTGTTGAAAAATATATTTTCTAGGCGATAATACATAATATTTTCGGCATTCTCCTTCTCTCCCTATCTTCGTTTCCCCCATTCCCTCTCGCAGAAACTGAAGTTTTTAAATTTGAAAATTCCCTTTTTTCCTTGTTTCCATTTCGGAATCTTAATTTATCCCACTGAACTGTAAGACCTTAGAGGTAACTTACATTGCTTTTCAGTGTCAGTGTAAATTGTCACACGCAGAGTGTGTAATTGTTAAAGATGCCGTTGGTTAATGGACGAAGTAATTTGCTTAATATTAACATTGTCACAGGAATACTAAGTAAATTTTGTAGTTACTTTAACTTCCTGGTCCAGGGTGCTGACTAGAAGATGTAAAACACTTGCTCGAGGCTCTCGATACACTCCGTCCCTGTAGATGACCGTTTAAAGGGGTAAGGAACTGGTTCTCCCATTTTAACACACGAGATTTGTGCAGTAATTTTCTGTACACTCGCATAACACCTGTAGTTTCACACCCAAAAGAACACTCGCCTTTTAAAGGCCAGGTAATGTAATCAATCTTGAGTAAAGTGGAACTACAATGAAAGGTCTTAACTCAAGTTATCACATGGGACTTTAAATAATCAAATTGCCACTTGAACAGCAAAATTTCAAATGCAAGATGAACCAGTTTAATAGTTTGAAGAATTGAGGCATTTTATCTTGCTAGACATTACAAGGGATCAGTTTAATTAACAAATTACACCAACAACCTCTACCCAAGGATTTTTATTCCACTACGTAAATCGACCACAGAGATTGTTCAGTATAATTAATAGGTTTTCTGAAGTTAATGCATGGACACGAATCAATGTCTTCAAGCTCGTAGTTCACTGGATCTGACGGTTTCCAAATATAATTTAAGAGATTTAATGTGTATTCGTAGGTTGTATATTGTAAAATGTTAATTAATACCAGTGCTCCAGAAGTAGTAGCAAGTAGGACAAGTGTTCATTTGATCAGAAGTTAGTGCACAAATTAAGCTTTTCATTATCAAAAAAATCTTAAAAATCGAACATAGGATTAATATTTAATATTTAAACTTCAAAGAAAATATGCACACTGGTTGTGCTTAATTTAGATTCAGCGATATCTAATGTCAAACAAAGCTAAAACGGGTAAGACAAATTTTTAGGTTACAATGAGGCTCTGATGTTTAGTTTTTATTCAGCAGACGGTGAATAGTACCTTTTATTAGTGAAGCATTGACCAATTTTAGAAAATTAAAGTATTAGTGAATTCATTCGCTTTACAAGTTCTATGTAATGCAATTAAATTAGATTGCTTTATTGCAAGGGTAAATTGTCTAATGCGAATTTCATTACAGCTTCAGTTATCCTTGATGGGACAGTGAATGGGTTCCACATGGATGTGGACTTCGTGTTAAATGGAAGACCAGCCACTATCAGCGGCTGGAAAACATTCCTGATGGATGTTAGCATTGTGGGCGACTTGAACGTTGAGCCACTCTCTCATATCCAGGTATGTACCGGATGCCTAGTAAGTGATAGTTAAAACAGGTTTACATTGAACAGGCGATAAGTCATTTTGAATATACAGACGATTAAGACTAGTTAGGCTCCTGAAAATGCAGTGTTAGACGAATCCATGTTAAAGGAACTGAAGAGCTTATGGGAAAAATAGGGTCACGTTCCTAGGTCCCTCCCCCCAAAAAAAAAGTCTCCAAATCTTCTAAAAATAATAAAATTTCTGTTAATTGTTACAACGTATGTTTTTTCTGTTGCTTAAGACTTAAAATGCAGCAGTACAATTTCTAGCTTTAAATTGTCGTTACTGGGGTTTGTTGACGATTGTGGAGGGAGTGGAGAGGCATGCTGAGGCCCATCTGGGCTGAGGTGGATGGTAGTCCAGTCATTTAATAGGGTCACTAAAGTCATTCATCCAGCTTGCGGCGCTGAAATTTTTCCCTACCGAGAAGCAGAACCGTTTAAACTGAATTTTATGAAGTGTAAAACGAAAATATGCCGAAATTTGAAAATAGTTTAATGGACAAAACGTTTCAAAGGAAAGTTTTAATCGACGGTCTACTAGACTCTAACCAGTATTTGTATTCGGTTAAACAGGGTGTAGATGTGTCGGAGTTCGCAAAGTCAGTGCTGTTAATTCGGCCAAATGGCACGGTGTTCATACCGGGAGTCACTACATTCAGAGGTCTTAGGATTCTGAAGCCCCTAATGTGAGTTAGTCTTTGGTGTTCGTGTGTTTTAAAAGCTAAATATGCTGAATTTTGTAAACTTGATACAGTGCAATTTGGTATTAATTTTTCTTCAATGTAATATAAAATTAAGTGCGATTACTGTTCACCTTTAATGTCTGCAGTGTTGGCTCTACCGTGGACGGAGTGGAAGTGAGCCGGGACAACTTGCTAGTTAAGAGTGGAGATCAGACAGTGCATGGGGATTTGACAATAGTGTCTCCCCCCAACACCATAGCTCTTGGTGCTAAAATGGATATCTCTATCCAAGAAAACTATTTAAACAATATAGATCTGGAAAGACTGGGTTCTTTGACAGTAAGACTCTTTTCATGAAGAAATTTTTACTTTGAAAATTTTCAAAATCATTACATTAAAGCAATTAATGTTGCAGTAGAATCTGCAGTAGTTCAGTGAACCCGACCAACTTCAAAAATCCTTCATGTTGCAGGTTCCCACGACAGGTGAAGTGATCATCACTGGATCGGTTCTCTTCTTAAATGATGTGGCAATGACTGAAATATTGCTGGTGAACGACCTTATAAACGGCTACAACATTACTGACCTAGCATTGTGCCTTCTGGGTCACCACATCGTGGAAAACATGGGCAACAAACTGGAAGTTATCTTAGAGATAATGCAAGATATAAAGGACGTGCTTGCAGGCGGGTGACTCTCGTTAATAGGAACTTTACTCTTAGTATCTAAATGTTATACATTAAACTCTTCAATATTTGCTTTAAATAGTTCATTACTGGAATTTTTTAACCTTAAACCCCAATTTTTTTTTTATCTGGATTTCAGGAGGGACAGAAGCTGTGTGGTATTACGAGGAGCAAAAATTACCAACACAATTGTATAAATTGATCCCAATACAGTAAGTTGGTAGAACTGATTTTTAATGTGCTTGTGAAATTCACATTTGGAAAGCCTCTGGTTTGATTATGACCTTCACCTACTTCACCTCTCATAGCCTGTGATACTGTGATAAGAGTTCAAAAGTTAAATCCTTGAAATATAACTTGAGCAGCATGAACTATTGGTTTTAATATATATTAATCTCGTGCTTCTTTTAATTTTAGGTTGACGGGCGAGTTAGATGTTAACACGTGGACTACACTGGTAGGCCTTGACAGGGCAGGTGGGCGCCTCCTAATCTACAATATAACAAACTTAGTGCAACTGTGTAAGTTGCATCAAGGGTACTGTGTAATGGAAAAAATGAAATGAATGGAAAGTTCTTAATTAGTAACTGAAAGGGCTAATTCTTGGCTCTTATTGTATTAAACAATTATAGTACAATAGAAACTACATGAAGTTTGCTTTAACCGGCCAGATCCTGCCATTGATGTGGTAAAGCCAGTCGCAGCAGTTGGTATGGGGCAAGGCTTGGTAGCTGTTTGTGGAATAGAGGGCATGGCTGCTGCTGCTCCGCTGGACGCCGTCTTCACATCAACATACAAAAAGGTAAAGATTTCACTAGATTCCAGGCATAAATTTTCTTTTAGATACTAAATTTTTTTAAAGAATTTCTTAGACTATATTTTCAATTTTTAAAATAACTCTGCTTTGAGCCCTTCTTATTTTAATCTAATTTTTACCGTACTGGTTCCTTAATTTTACACATAGCGAAAGGATGCAACAAAGTTGTGGGTTTTAATGACTTGCTGAACAGGTTATATGTTGCCCTGTACCTGTAAATCCAGCTAGATTTTGACACCCCAAAAACTCTTCCTATGCTTCTCTTGCAGCTGAGTGTGGAAAATGGTTCTGGTTTAGGCTACGGCCACATTTACTGGTTTGGTGAAGATGAGGTGATGCTGGAGGCTGCATTCCAGATAAAGCAGTGTAGAGACCTCGTGGTGAGCATTAAGATGGAGCTTCATTGTTTCAAACTAAATTGTTACTGATAAGCAGAAAGTTTGCTGTTGAATAAAAGAAAATTCTTGTTCTGAAGTCTTTTCCTTATTGCAGAGCTTCAGGATAGGCGAGCAAGTGTGTGTGGCAGTGTTAGACTACTCTACCAGCTCCTCAGTGTTGTGCAAGATGCCTAGTGAATCTTTACACTTAATGACCTACTTGCCTACTGAGAGAGCAATAAAGGTAAGGTTATTTAATCATGCTTGCGGTGAACACCATTCAGACAATTAGGAGAGGTATATTTCTAAAAGCATTTAATAAGAGCTAAGAATCTTACAAAAGGGGGATACCAGTAGCGGGTTGTCTCGGTTTTTTTCCTGTAGGTTTGTTCCTAAGCTTATCTGGTGGTATCTCGTATCTAAAATATGGTACTGAATACTTTTAAGAACTATAGGCATTAATCTACATATTTTTGAGCTTTTTTAGTGTATTAAAAATACAGCTCGAACCATTAGGAAGGTTCGGATTACTTAGCAATAAATTCAAATTTGGCTTTTCGCTTTATTTGCATCCGTGTCAGAACTGAAGATTGCCACTACTGATCAGCTTCAAAGTTTTAAACGCATGTAGTCTTAAGCCTATGGAATATTAGTAACCCTGATACTTAGACTAAATATGACCTGATAACACTATGCGAGGACAACTTGGGAGCTGTTAAGCTTAAATCAGAAGCAGACAGTGCCTCAGCGTACTTACTAAGGCTGAGATTGCTTTGATTTATGTACAATGAAAAAAACCATACCACGGGTGGGGTTTGAACCCGCGGTAAGAGTCTCAAAACTTCAGACCGTCGCATTAGCCACTGGGCCACCTAGCTAAAATAAGATTCGTCCAACTAGGTATATTTCTACACCATAGGAAAGTTAGCATACGCACCACTGTCCACAAATTAAAGCTTTTACAGACGAATCTCCCGCTAGCATGGCCATGACGAACTCTAGCTCAAGTCCCCTCAAAGCAATCGTGTCATTACGATTTCGTGAGTAATAGTACAGTGAAAAAAAAAATGAAATAGAAGTGAAGTTTATTAGAGTAACAAAAAAATTAGTAATGGAAAGATAAGCATCCAGATGGAAGGAGAAAATGATTTATTTGGAAGTGAAATTGGCTTGCGGTGAAAGTTTAAGGTATTAACTAAGGAGGGAAAAGGTTGGTACAATGAAGCATCTGTTGAGACAGAACTTTATGTAGGCAAAAGGGGTACTAATGTAGTTACGAGTGAGAAGTATGGAATTTAAATGTTGCAGAATAGACTGGAGGCAGTTTGAGGGCAATATGTGGTGTGAATATTAGGCAGAGAATTCGTAGTTCGGAGATAGATGCGGGGCTAGTACAAGTATTATACAGAAGGCTGAGGATGGGTTGAGATGGTTTGTACTTGTAGAAAGTATGGAGCAAAATAGGATGACTTAGGTGTATAAATCATTATATGCACAAATGACAAAAAAAAAAGGCACAATACCGTGACTGGAACGATACACAAATAACCCGCACATAGAAAAGAGGAGCTTAAGATGACGTTTCGGTCCGCCCTGGACCATTTACAAAGTCACACTAACCAGAAGTGGAGCAGGACGGCTATATATAGGCAGGAAGAGGTAGTGGTGGTGGTGGTAGTAGTCCACCGCTCAGATACTGGTTTTTCCTTTTCCGTTTACCGAAAACTTATGCACAGTGGCATGTACATTAACTACTTTTCCTATCATGCTTCCCCTGTCAAGAAAAGTGTTCTTATCTCCCTCTTTCTCCGTGCCCTACGCATGTGATCCTCGGTTCCTTCCAGCAGAAATTTCCACTTCATAATTCGTTTTCCTGTCTTGGCTACCCTTACCATTTCATATTCTGCCTTCTCATGAGCTAAACGTAATTTTTTCTCCCAAACTCTATCTGGGAATCTTCTGTCCTCTGCCTTCCCTACATTTCCGGTTTTTTCTAATCTCGACAATTCTCTCCGTCCCTTAGACATCAAGCTTACTTTCCGCCAGACTAACACACTTCGCACTAATCTCGTTCATACCTCTCCTCCCTCTACAGATGTTCCTGGTATCTACTTTCTTGCTTCTCCTGTCCTCTTCAATACTTTGGAGAAACTGGCCGATCTTTCTGACAGACTTAGGGAGCACAAAAATAGTGTTAGGCTTGCCGACACTAACGGTGCTCTTTTCTGTCACGTCAGAGATCACAGCCATCCTATAGACTGGTCTTCTGCTAAAACTCTTCCCTACTTCCAACTTTAACAGTCGCAGTCTTGTTGAATCCTCTCTAATACACAACTTTCCTTGTATGAATCTTTGTCCTGGCTTCATCTCTGTAGATGTCTTCCTCTCCCACTACATTGTAAAATGCTCCAAACTTCAGAACACCCGTGGCTTAACTGATTCCTCATTTTTTCTTCTCCCTCTTTTTTTCTTTCTTGTCTTTCTTCTGTCGCGTGTTTGTTCCTTATTATTTTTTTCATCACTTCCCCTTCCCCCCACCTCTGTGCACTTGCTCTCCCTCTATGGGCACCTAGCTCCCTTGCAGTGCTCCCCTTTACATTTGACTGGCTCCTCCTCCTCAGTTCCCCCCACTAGTACTATTACTACTACCACCACTACCTCTTCCTGCCTATATATAGCCGTCCTGCTCCACTTCTGGTTAGTGTCACTTTATAAATGGTCTAAGTCGGACCGAAACGTCGTCGTAAGCTCCTCTCTTCTATGTGCGTTATTTGTGTATTATATGCACAAATATGCGTCTGTACATGCATACATGGTGTAAATATATTTGTTAGTATGCAGAATTTGTGTATAAATGTACGGATGCATGTGTACATCACTAGACCATTATATGCCCGTGTGTAAATCCATAACCAATAAGAATACCCTAAAATGTGAAGGTCCATTAAAAGAGCCTCTTAATCTCTTGAAAATCGGTTTCAGGAAAGGTCTATAAATTAAGTCCATGACAATTGCTTTAAGAACCTTCACCTGGTAATAGATGACCAGGGTTTGAAACTTGGAGCTGATTGGACGAGACTTTGTGGAGTTATATTTAGACTAGTTCCAGTTCTTGGGCTTCTAGGTTTCTTTTAACAATGATTTAATGCGACTAACTGATTTAGTTCATTTTATTCCTTTTGAAGTAATTTCTGTATTTTTATTGCCAAAAGTACTTAATGACCTACTATATTGTCATTTGCTTTTCAAAATTGCCTTGCTTTATGGAGTCGAGGTTAGAATTAAGGTACAGCTCCCGTCTCCCGAGACTAGGTACAGCTGCTAAAGTGAAGAGGCTTTTACAAATGAGAAATTAAACTCGCAGCAACAAATACATTGTGGGTCCACAGTTACCTAACAATCTTAAGTTTACCCATTTAATCTAAAATTTAATGTACACTTACTTTTCCTACCTTTTCAAAATGACAAACTTCATGTTTATAAAAAATTAGTTCAACGGAACAGGTGAAGAAATACTGGCATTTAAAGGTGACTCCAGTTTACTTCAATAATTGTACTGGCATAATATAACAGGGAGCCTGGCTAGTGCTGACAACTGGGACCTTCATCATCATTGCTGAAGCTGGCACCACCACGCTACCCTCTCGTCTGAGGATATTCAAATACAAGGACACAGAAGGCAGACTGACAATGGTTAGCAAAAATTTGTATTCTGCTATTTTGTTAACTTGCAAAATTAAATGCAAATTAACACAATTTATTTAAAACTTTCTTTTTATATTACTGGAGATATTTAATCCGCAATCATATACCAGGTAGATTAAAAACTTGAGTATTGTTTTAAAAATATATGATTACCCTCATTCTTAAAATTTTAAAATTAAATAATTTAAAGGTAAAAAATAAGGCACGAACTATTATATTTCAGGTGCAAAGTTTGGCATCATCAGGGTTGACGTCAGTTTCAGTTTTCAATGGTAATTCGGAAGGTGTGATTGCCATCACGAGTAGACAAACAATGTACACGACTGGCAAAGTGGTATTACTTCGGGCTACACCTACTTCGACCTCACTCGCTCTCACTCGGCTGCAGGTATACCAAAACTTTGAGCTAATGGAATTTATTCTTTAGTTGCCCGATTTAAAGCTCGTGTTACATGTGAAACAATGGGGTCGTGGTATCGGACTTGTGCTTCTCTTGGGTCTAATCTAACTACATCTCGTTTGCCAGGCACTGCAGGATCCCTACTAGTTCCACCCTTACATAAGTTTTAAATTTTTGCAATCTTCCATGACATTTAAATTATGCATTAAGTGAACCGAGACCATTTTCACCCCTCAGACCCTCGAGGTGAAAGATGCTGTAGACAGCAGCTTAGGGATGATGCCTACTGGAGAGGTGGCCCTCTACTTGCAAACAAAATATAGACTACTAATTTATCTACTAAAGGGATCTTCTTTCATCTTAGAGAGGGAGGTGAGTTTTAGTAAGATTAAAGAATACTAATTTAATGGTAAATACAAAGCTGTTCGCGTGCACAACCTGAAGGTTTGATACTTCGCCAGTTTAGAAGCAGCACCACTACAAAGAATTCCAACAAAAATGTGATACGTTCCTTCTATCTTCGACTTTCAGATAAAGACAACTCCAGCCATGTACCCGTTCTCCTTTCCGTTCCTGCACACAGCTTCCAACACACCAATGGTGGCTTACACAGGCACGGGACTCCTGGACGAGTACGATGACCTGCCCACACTTCAGCAGGCTACACCCACCTTATACAAATCTGTGTATAGATCCCATACACCACTGTCTCGACATGAACGCGCTTAGTTTTAAAATCGAAAATATTTTCTAGTCTGTTTTAAGGACCTTCACGATGTTCTTTCTTTGGTGTAACTACGTTCTTTAAATAAAATTTAGAAAGAAATTATTTGTAAACCTTAAGCTGTAAATAATTCTTAAAGCTTAACAACTCGATGATTAAAACTAGTAGAATGTTAAGGTACGACGTTTCTATTCTAACATGACTTCAGATGAGAATGATACAGTTTACAAACTGTGCAGTCTCAAGTTCTTGGTATAAAACCAACCCGCTGGGAGTACATTGTCAGCAAACCCAGATCACTCTTACCCCCATTGGCTTTCACGGCGCTGGGTCACCTTACGTAATGTGGCTTAAGTGACTGAAGGACAGCCCCCCCTTCCCCCTTTCCCACCTACCTCTCCTATCCTTGACTGTATTTGACATCGGCAGGGAATCTCCTTCCCCTCCCCCCAACCTTTCAGTTAATATGGAATGGGTCATTCTCTTCCCTGTGACCCTATTAATTTTCCCGAGGTGATCTATACCACCCATAAGAAGACTGGATAGTCAGTGGCGATCTGGGGTACATTAGGGGGGTCTGCGGGCTCTAACGGAGGAATTATCGGAAATCCATGGGTGTGAGTGTGTCCATCTCTGCGTTCTTGCTTTTGGACCTTTGCAATGTCTATTGTTTATAAAATGTGCTTATTCTGTAAAAAAATATTGGAGTTGTGCTCCCCGGGGGGTTGTTAGTGCAGGGTAGTTTGTTGGTGTCCCTTTTCATCTGTCGAGGCACAAAATCTTCCTTTACCCCCTTTCAAGAATCCTAATAACCCTGCATGAATTTTGGGATGGCAAGACCTAAAAGGTCAGACTAGGGCACTGGTTTTGGGCTGCCTTAAAATCATTTCTCAAGGCTTGTACAAAGGTACACAGGCCAAATGCCTCAATGACATACTACTGTATGGAAAAAGGGTTGTTTTGCAAAAGGGATTTCGGGAAAAAAAGGTCAATTTTTTCCCCGGGTGCGACACGCCCGTCGATAAAACCCAGGTACCCATTAATGATGGGCAGCAGGTGTCTTAAGGAAACGCGCCCTAATAATTTCCAAACCATGCCGGGGATTCGTTCCGGACCGTGAGAGATAGTGAGTAGGGATTGAGTAGCGTTACCATCATTTTTAAAAGGACCTATAGGTTTTCCCCAGTTTGGTGAGCTTGGTATGTTGCTTTTTTTTAAATTACGGTGTAATGGGCGGATATTTCTCCAGCGTAAGGTTTTGGGAGTGGCTGAGCTAGTTTAGTGGTTGAGTGGTCGGCCTCTTCAAGGGGGGTCCCTTTGGGGGTGGGGGCCCTTTGGGTTTAGGAATTAGCCTGTCGGTTTTCCTCAGACCGAACCCAATTTCCCCCCTTTCTCCCTCCCCTATCCCCCTCCTCCCATCCTCCCCTTTTTCCATTCCTCCTTTCCCCCCCACCCTCCCTTTGCCCTTCCTCTTTTTAGCCCTTTGTGATTTTTTCCACGGCGCGTGTTCTAGGAGGGGAAAAAACACCGGGGATCCCATTCCGTTGAGGTTTTTGGCTGGGGTGGCGTA